TTTTTTTTAATATGTTTTATTGATTTTTTACAGAGAAGAAGGGAGAGAGATAGAGAGTTAGAAACATCGATGAGAGAGAAACATCGATCAGCTGCCTCCTGCACATCTCCTACTGGGGATATGCCCGCAACCCAGGTACATGCCCCGGACCGGAATCGAACCCGGGACCCTTCAGTCCGCAGGCAGACGCTCCATCCACTGAGCCAAACCGGTTTCGGCACCAAATATGAATCTTTACTGACTTACCATTCCTTTAAAAAATTACAATTAAAACAAAATTTTAAAGCTCAAGCTCCTTGCTTTTGAGAGCTCTCCTGTTTAGGTTTTCTCGGGCTGCTGTCCACTGGGAGCCTGCGCTCCTGACACAATTCAGGGCTTGCTGCTGGCCCAGCACTTGGCTCATTTATGCCCCCTACCGTAAAGCAGGCCTCACAGCCAATAGCCCATGTTGAGACACCTGAGCTGAAGTGTAAGCTCTGAGGGCAGGGCTAGGTCATGTTCCTTATTTTACAGTCTCCGCAAACTGGAGTGCTTTACATAAGGCAACTACTGAATTAAAAAGCAAACATCATTTCTATTGAAATTATAGAAAGGGACTACACTTCTTAGGCAATACCGTGTGTATTTGCCGTGTTTATTAAGCCCACTGCTTATTAGTACCTTGTTCTGCTCCCACGGGGAAATGCCTGCAAGCGACCAACAATAAGATAGAAAGGATTTGTGCCTATTTAAGGTTTATCCCTGAAAGACAGATTGGTTCTCCGTTACAGTCTCTCTTTTTTCTCTACAGCAATGTGACCCTGTGTAAGGGCGAAATCGAGACTCATGATTAACGTGGCTTTAGTGGGTTTGAGACTCTCAAGGAAAGCTGAGCGTTCTTTAAAAAGTTGAAGATCAGCTATTTTTCTGAACATGGCACAGTCATCGAGCAAATCCCAGAACCCTGGTGCTAAGGCACCTTTAAGACCCTCGTTTGTAATCGCCACAGATAAGCGAGAGGGGTTTCCAGCTGATATTTCAGGGAGGGAAGTTTTTACAGAATTATGCATCTACCTCCAAAGTTTCTCTTGGCTTCCAAACGTATTCACTAGCGGGAATTTTATTAAAATGCTGCAACTAATGAAATTAAGCCATGTGTAACTCAGACTAGGAAGAACTAAGCATAATATAAACTGCCTTCTTGCCTGAATTATTTTTAAATTAACTTAATTTTACAAGAAACCAAATGTATTTTTTTTCCACAAGTGTGTCGGCTTGACATTTATTTTCCACAGTAATAGAGCAGAGAGCGCTCATTCCTCCACTCAGCGGTCAGTAAATGCTTTGTTAACTTCTGTGAACCCTAAACACAAAGCGAGGACGAGGCAGCCTTAGAAGGGTGACACCGGGCGCTGTGGTCAGGCCCGCCTGGATGCTCCTGTTGACTCCTGCACTCCCTCCCTGTCAGCCAGGACACGGGTTCAGCTTGCTCATCTGCAGAATGGGTTCAGAGTACCCCCCACTTTCCGAGGTTGCTGTGAAGACTGATACAATTCTTTTAAAGTGCCTAACACAGACACATCTAAAAAGGTTACAAAAAGTCAGTTATCATTTTTATTATCATTCAGGACATCTAAGACTTTTTAATATTAATTTTTTATGATGATAAATGTAGCCATAAGAGAAACATCACAAAAACGGTTAAATAGCATGGCTGTTGGCTCCTTTTTGTTAACCGAAGGTTTTATGCAGCTTCCAGTTTGGGCGAAGAGGAGGCAGCTTTGAAATCCTCTCTTTGGGAAGTTTTTTAGAGACAGTGCCGGGTAGACGACTTATGAAAATAACTGGGATTGAAGACCGCAGCTTGACCTGGAGCAAGAAGAGACACACTCAAATGGCCCTGTCGTGTAGAAACCAGGCACGAACGTGTGGAAGGCATCTTGAGGGAAGCCAGAGTGAGCTGGGTGCTGGTGGGCCAGAGGCAGGGCCAAAGCTGTGCAGAGCGCAGTGATGGGGGTTTTCCAGTGCACGGCCGGCCTGCGGGCGTTTTCACTCTTAGAAAAGCCCTTTCTTCCCCCCTGAGCCCCTGGGTCTCCACAGCCTTGAGTTGAAGGGATACCTGTGCTTTGCGTATTCTTTTCCCCACGGTCTACGTGGCCAGTGAGAGGATGTGTGTACCTCAGAGAAAGAGGAACAGTTGGGTTAGCTTGCAGCCAAGCAGGTCGGCTCGGAGCGGGCGGGGGGGGGGGGGGGGGGGGGGGGCGGGCGGGGGGGGAGCAGGGCCCCGAGGGCAGGCGGGGCGGGGGGGGGCGGGGGGAGGGGGGGAGGGAGGCGGCCTCTGGCCAGTGTCGCTGCGCCTCTGCGGGAGCGGGTGGCGAAGGCTCCCCAAGGCGCTGGGCGAGGCAGTAAGATCCGGGGGTTCCATTGTCGACGGCGAGGACGCAGGCCAGGGATGCTGAATGTTAGATGGGCTCTCAGTGGACAGCGTGGGGGGACAGCCTGTGTGACCCCGCGCAGGAGGGGCTCCCCTGTGGCGCCGGGAACCCTGCCGGCAGGACTTCCAGCCGCCGGGGCCTGGGCGAGGCGCTGTTCCTTTCGGACCTCATGCGTGTCCCCCGTTGCCCACACACATGCTTCTCTTAGTATTGCCGCCTGCCAAGTCCCATCAGTAAGAGCCCTTTCCCAGGCCGGGTGGTCCCTGAGCCCGTCCTGATGCGGGGCCTCCTGGGGTCCGCGCCCGCTGCTGCTCGCGCTGCCCGAGACGGAGACGCGGGGGATGCGTGGGCAGGACTGTGCCCTCGGAGGGTCTGACTTCCTGGGCTGCCCCGTCTAATGGGTCGCATTTTACGTGGTTTGGTGCGACCCACAGATAAAGCACAAATCACAGACAAGCAAACTGCCCTGGGAAAGAGCGTCCCTGCCAGGTACGGAGTGGACACACGTGGTCCTGCAGCCGTTTCACTCCAGGACTGAGGAAGACTGGGCTGGAGGAGGGAGCCTGACGGCGGGGACCTGAGTGCCTGCGGGGAGGAGGGCGCAGCCTCTGCGGGCGCACCTGGTCCTCTGATGACCTTGGGGACAGGGGTCAGGCGCCCGCCCCTCCCCGCGGGCTCTTCTCCGCTCTGTCTCCTGTCACTGCTCTGCGGCCCTCGCAGGGGCCTCGGTGCCTCTGTGTCTGTGAGAAGGAAGCACCATGATGGAGACTCCCACGCGAGGAGTGAAGAGTGACGGTTAGGCCCCTGCCCCAAGGAGCCAGGCAAGAGATGCTGTGAGTGGTTAAGAAATATTATCACCTTCTCTTGCTGTCCGGGAGACCAGGGTGTGGTGTGAGCAGCAGGGAAGGGGGAGCGGATATTTATGTCTCTTCTAAAGGTCCCCCAGAGCAGCGGGTGGGACCAGGCGCAGGTGGGGGCAGGTGGGGGCGGTCACTGGAAACTGGGTGAGGCGGCTTACTGGGAGCCCAACGTCCTCAATCCTGAAACCTACAATGAGAATAACAGGAAAATCCCGGGAGGGGCAAGAATGTGCCTAATAGTGATGATGTAAAGGACTAGACTCCAGTCCTGCAAATCAGTCAATCGGATGTTGTGAAGACTTTGAATGGAAAAGCTGAGCAGGCTCTGGCTGGTTTGGCTCAGTAGATAGAATAATGGTTCTCAACCTTCCTAATGCCGCGACCCTTCAATACAGTTCCTCATGTTGTGGTGACCCCCAACCATAAAATTATTTTCGTTGCTACTTCATAACTGTAATTTTGCTACTGTTATGAATCGTCATGTAAATATCTGATATGCAGGAGGTATTTTCATCTCTACAAATGGAACATAATTAAAGCATAGTGATTAATCACAAAAACAATATGTAATTATATATGTGTTTTCCGATGGTCTTAGGCGACCCCTGTGAAAGGGTCATTCGATCCCCAGAGGGGTCACGACCCACAGGTTGAGCAACGCTGGGATAGAGTATTGGCCTCTAGGGTCCCAGGTTCGATTCCGGTCAAGGGCACATGCCTGGGTTGTGGGCTTGATCCCCAGTGGGGGGCGTGCCGGAGGCAGCCAGTCAATGGTTCTCTCTCATCATTGATGTTTCTATCTCTCTCTCCCTCTCCCTTCCTCCCTGAAATCAATATAAATAATTTTTTTAATTTAAAAAAAGAAAAGAAAGAAAAGCGTAGCAGGATTTTGCCCACAGAGGGCTTTCACTCGGGCACTAAGAAAAACGTGGAGCTCCCTCACTCGTGCTGAGTGAGTCAGCCTAGCGCTTGTGTAAAACCTCATTGTCAAGAACAGTGGGTTGTCCACATCCCCAAGTTCTCTGCCAGCTTCCCCCCTCCCCCCACCCCGATGTGGCCAGGAAGGTAGGGCTGTTCCATCAGGGACTCAGCTTTTGAAAGTTTCACCCACTTCAAGTCAAACATATTCAATAGAAAACACAGCCTGTATCAGATATACTTTTGACTGTAAACAATATTTTCATTTATTATTACTCCTTTTTTTTGCAGGTTTTCTTTTGTACTTTCCGTCGGTTCATCTTTTCCTTTTTGTAGGCCGTTAAAATTCTCACCGGCCCTAGGCGGGGGAATAAACCCTAAAGCTGGATGGATGAACTGGTCTTTCTGGGGAAAAAAAAAAAAGAAAAAGAAAAAAAAATGGCTGTCATTCTGAACAGCAGTTAGCAATTTGTCCCCTTCACTGGAAAGAAATAGTACACGATTTTGATTTTACAAAAAAATAACAAGATAAAACTTCTTCCAAAAATTAAGTCTTTCCAGTCCATATCATTTCATCATACCAGGGGATTTTTTGACCAAATGCTGTTTGATGAAACCAGACGACATAATTCCATTTGCATTGTAAGGCGTACATTTAAATCCTATTCTTCTAAATAGAGTATTCTTAGCCAGCCGCGGAAGGGTAAAGAAGACCCTGCTGCTTCCGAGAGCACTGTATCAGCGGAGCAGCCGAAGCAGCCGGGCTATGTGAGTGAATCGCAAACACTTGTTTCCTGTTTTTGAACAGCCTCCATAGTGATTGGGAAATGGTGGTGTGAGATGGAGCCTTGTCTTGAGGGAGAAGAATGCAAGACGCTCCCTGACAATTCCGGCTGGATGTGCGCTACAGGCAATAAGATTAAGACCACAAGAGTAAGTTCATTATCTCAAATGTCTCGTGCATGTGACCAACTGTTCTGTTTTCCTCTGTGCTGTACAAGTATCATCCAGAGAAGCTTAAACAGGGGAGCAGGGGAAGCCTTTTCCCAACAGAAACCATTCTGACCAGTGTCCAGCCATCAGCAAGAAGCTAGAGATTGAACTGAACTTTTCTACTGAGTGTTTCTGCTTCTGACTCATGAATTAAGTTAGGCTGCAGTGAGGCAATTATTTGGACAATTCGTCCAACACCTATGGTGCTCAGATAATTAAATGAGGATGTTTAATTTGTCCACATAGTGTGTTGAAAAGGTCTGCATTTAAGTAGAGATTCTTTAAAGGAATTCTATGATAATTTTATAGAGAAAGGAAAGGTTTTGTGATGTGAATAATCATTCCTTGATTTCTCTGGTTAACTCAGAAGTTATCTTCAAAATATGTAACAACCTGTACGGAGGGGCTTACCCAACGGGTAAGAATCGGTGTCACAATGTGGGAGCAGGAGGAGGAGGCCCAGCTAGGCCATGTGCTTGACCTTCCATGTGCTGGACCACAAGAAGATCTGGGAGTCCTGAAGGGGGTAGGGAGAGGGTGGGTACTCAAAACATTTAAGGCAGAATCTATCTATTTACAGTTCAAAGGTTACTATTTTAACAACCAGTATGGTCACATATATCTGTACCACGTGGATATCAGCCCTGGTAGTTAGGTGTTTGTGTATTTTAATGTATTGGATATTTTTTTAAAGGAAACTCCACCAATTATAAATCCCAAAATGCTGACCTTGCAATCTTCCAAAAGGGTAACTCGAATTTAGAAAACACCTCTGATTCCAATTCTATATTATGAGTCTTATCTGATCTTTCTTCTCAGCATTATCTTTTCAAAAAATAAAATTGGTTCTTACAGCTTTGTGATGCAGAAAACAAAAGTAATTCTACAGGATACCATTTTAAACACTTATTTTTTCATATGTAAAGTAAGTGGAGACGCTTTGCCTGTCAAATTTAGTTGCCTGTACTGATCACATTAGCTAGTAAATGGCCATACCTCCCTGGCTTGCAGCCAGGAGAGATTTCTGAACCATCTTGGCTTTTTAACATACATTTTTGAGCACCCAAAAAGCTCAGCTTGGATTCTTGTATTTCATGTCAGTGAAACACCTACCCAAGAAACCTACAGAAAGAAACTTGGTTCATGCAAATTATCCATCGTAACCATTTTAATTACCTGGTGGAGAGTGGCTTTCAGGGTTGCCTTTGATTACATTTTGCCTGAAAATGATTTTACCAAATAATTTGAAGATGTCCTTAGAGCAGTGTTGGCAAACCTATGACACGCATGTCAGAGGTGACATGCAAAGTCATTGTTTTGGTTGGTTTTTCTTTGTTAAATGGCATTTAAATATATAAAATAAATATCAAAAATATAAATCTTTGTTTTACTATGGTTGCAAAGATCAAAAAATTTCTATATGTGACACAGCACCAGAGTTAAGTTAAGGTTTTTTAAAATGCTGACACGCCGAGCTCAAAAGGTTCGCCATCACTGCCTTAGAAGTTAGTTTTAAGCTACTCTGCACATGGCTGGTGTAATTCTAGAATTATGACTGGAATCCGATCACCATTATTTTTTAAATGTTGCTGATATACAGGGGTGGGGAAAAGGAGGTTTATAGTTGTGAGTACACAAAACACAGAGTTTATTCTTGTATTATTATTTATTAATTATTGTGCTCATTACTTTTATTACAATTATAAACCTACCTTTGCCCACCCTGTATTTTCTGAAATCTTAGTCCCTATCCCGAATGATAACAGGTGGCCCTTTACTGAAGATAAGCCCTGCTCTCATGATGCCTCGAGTCTTGGAACTCAGTAACGAGCAGTAATGCAAGTCATTTCAGGATTTAAATATGGGAAATTCCAAGAGTCCCAAGTATGAGAGTCTTTGGAAGCTAGAGCATAAACAACAAACAAAACACAGAACTTGTGAATGCCACCTTCCTGTGACCATAGGCTTTCTCTCCTTCTGTGGAATATGTTGGAAAAGCGCCAGGCCTGTTGTAAATACATCCTAGACATTCCGGGCATCAGGGTAGTAGGATGCAGAATCCTCATGGTAATAATGGAGGCTGGAGCGCACTGTGCCTGCTACCACCCTGGGTGGGCGCAGTGCAACCCAGACAGCTGAGTGTACGAGAGAAACAACTGCCCTTGCCCTGGGTCTGAAGCAGAACCACAGTATGAATCCATTTCCAGTGAGGAAATGAAACGCTGCTCTTTAGCCCTGTGAGTGGCACGCCAGTCAGCTGAGAATTCTCAGGTCTGTCTGGAGACAAGGAAAAAGAAGACACTAGAAAAAGGCTGCATTTCTTTTTCATTGATTTCAGAGAGAAGGGGAGAGGGAAAGAGAGAGACAGAAGATCAATGATGAGTGAATCATTGATTGGCTGCCTCCCACATGCCCCCCCCACTGGGGATCGAGCCCACAACCTGGGCATGTGCCCTGTCCAGGAATCGAACTGTGACCTCCTGGTTCATAGGGGTGATGCTCAACCACTAAGCCATGCCAGCCAGGCAAGGCTGCACTTTTTAAACATTGAGAGGACTCGGACATTCCTACTGACTTACAATTTCTCTCCCTTCCTTATCAAGAAATTCACAATGAAAAAACACTTTTAAACACAAAGGCACCATTTAAGCCCAGATGATGCATACAGGAGCTCTCCATTCTGTATAAATCACATGCCAACAAGAGTCCTCAGATCATCTGCTCTGGAAATAGGTTTTGTACCAATTTTTCTAATGGGGATTGTTCCCCATTAGATAATGATATGTCTACAGACTTCAACTATGGACTCTAGCAATCTAACTTTTGAAAGAGTTAAATTCACAGATGTACTTTAATTTGAATCACATGTTTTATTTTCTGTTCTTAACTAAGAGGTGATCTTTATTATATAAATTATTCAAGTTCTTCTTAAAGTGGAAGGGAAAATAAAGAAAAATCACCATTTTTGTTCTTGTATGTAAGACTGATTCAAAGAGGGTGCTCTTACAGGAAAAAAGATGAAGACACATACCCAGATTGTTAATGACAACTGAGAGTTTCCTTTATATGTAATTTTTAAAAGTAAATCCAATGTAAAGATATTTGCAAAAAAAAGATTGCTGGTACCTCCTTGCTTTTTCCTATATAGTTTTGTGTTTGTTTGTTTGTTTGTCAAAGTCTTCCTATTAGAGGGCTTACTTCCCAAATAAGCATCTAAGCCAAAAATCTCAGCAGTCTTTGAAATGCAGATGGATGCTTCAGAGTGTAATCTAATTTATATTTTTATGATGTTTCTTTTTAAATGGGTAGAGAGTAGAAATTCACTGTTCCATTTAAACCTCTAAACCCCTGATTGACAATAGCCAGGATAACAGGCCACAACCTGAAGGAAAACCTTGGGGAGATGAGATCAGGGTGACAATATGATGCAGAAGGAAGAGGGGTAGGGCTAGGTAAGGGTTCTCCTGACAGGATAAATCTTAAGGGATGAGGAAGCTCCCTGAGTGAATGCCGCCTATAGAAAACCTCCAGTAGGAGAAAGCTGGTGGGTGACAGACAACCTCCCGAAGAGGCAGGGTGAAGTCTCAGGGCTGAATTTCAACCCTATCCCTGCTTGATCTTTGCTTCAATTGCTTTATTAAAATTAACTTGTCGGTAGTTTACTGCAAGAATACCCAACTTAGATATCAACTAGAGATTTTGCCTATGGTTTCAGAGACCTGCTGGTTTATTCCTTTTCTTTCAACTCATATATCAAAAAATATAAGTTTGAAAGTTGGAAGGGCAATAGCTCATACATTGAGGAACAAATCTCTACACTGGGTATGCAGGAACAATGGCTTAGTTTAGAAAGACAGAGCTCTCCATAGAGGAAATCAGCCGTTTGGCAATGCTGCAATAATTCACGGGTGAAAAGCGAACACTGGGTGTTTGGGGATAAAAAGGGGAAGGAAAAGAAATGAGGAGAAAATCAAAGTCACTTGGAAAGAAAAATAAGCAGATTAAAACAGCAAAATATAATATGGTATAATACCTGGGGAAGCGTCATGCAACTTTGGGCTTCCTACAACCCCATATGTTAATGTCTTTCAAACAGTGAGAAAATCAAGCTAGTACGCAATGCAGAATCAAATTTCCTCCCCTAACAGGGCAAGTGAACAGAACTCAGATTGCAAACCTAATTACAATCGCCTTCTGGTCAAATGCCTGTTTTATGTGATCAGCCCAACACAAATCTGGCCCATCCTCCTAATGGCACCTCTCCCACGGCATGCATATCTCCATGATGTTTTTATATTATTGAAAAGATAAAGTAGTAGCTTTGATATAGTTCATCTTCCTCTCTCAGAATTCCTCCTGGTCTGAAGTGCTCTGAGAGCCTTTATAATCCTGTACAATCCTGATCTCCATTTCATTTGGTATTAAATATTTTAAAATTGAGGTAGCAAAAGAGAGGTGGGGAGGGAGGGAGGGAGGGAGAGAGAGAGAGAGAGAGAGAGAGAGAGAGAGAGAGAGAGAGAGAGAGAGAGAGAGACATGTTTGGAGATTGCAGAAAGGAAGAATGAACCAACTTATCCCAACACAGTATCACAATAATCCCTAGGTCCAAGGGAACTCATTTATTTCTTTAGCCAATTGGTATATTTAAGCCTCCACTATCTGAAGTTAGTGTATGAAGGTCTTGAAGATGTGATGGTGGACATGGCAGAGCCCCTGGTCTTCCATGGAGGATAGGGACCAAGTTTGGGTGGTGGAGGTAAGGGTGATGGGTTGGTAGACACAAACAAACAAACAAAAAGGCTATTTTTGTGAATGTCACTTTTTCTCTCCTTTGATGAAAAAAAAAAGACAGTGAAAAGAGAAAGTGATAAATGCCACTGGAATGTAGGAAACCAAGCTTTGAAAGGATCTGTTATTTATACGGAGAGGATGAAAAAGATAAATGTGTGATTTCTCGTAGATTCCACATTTGAATATAGTCTTTTATTGCTGTCCTTACCTGACTCAAAAGCTTCACGTGTACTGCCAAATATACTCCCTGTACTCAGACACTCAGTTTCTAATACTATAATTAAGAGATGATGAAGAAAAATGTATTATGTCCTAAAACCTTGGCAATGACTTCACCTTATGCCACCCCTCTACATCTTTCAACAGGCCAACATGACAAGGACAATAACCTACTCGGTTCAAATTCTAATCAGACACAGATTGACTGCATAGTGCAGTGGTTCTCAACCTGTGGGTCGCCACCCCTTTGGGAGTCAAAGAACCCTTTCACCGGGGCTGCCTAAATACATCCTGCATATCAGATATTTGCATTATGATTCATAACAGTATCAAAATTACAGTTATGAAGTAGCAACGAAAATAATTTTATGGTTGGGGGTCACCACAACATGAGGAACTGTATTAAAGGATCGCGGCATTAGGAAGGTTGAGAACCACTGGCATAGTGTGCAGAGTCCAGTCCAAAATGGGGACATAAGGCCCCTTTTCAAAAATTAATAATTTCAAGATGGCAGCAGAAGGTCATCAAACGAAACGCAGGACCCTGTCAGCACAGGGCACTATGCTATTGGGTAGTCTCACGCCCATAAAGCCAGTGCCAGTCAGACCTGGCTCAGAGAGTCTGTCTCCTTGGTTGCGGCAAAATCAATTTAATAAATTGATTTTTAAAAATATGGTGGTCTGTCAATGTACTTGGATCACCATTTGAGAACTATTGCTCTAAACACTAACATTTTGCACTTCAGATCACCTGAAAGACTCAACATCCTAAAAATTCAAGATGTTCTCAATCTTCTGCTTGGTCACTTTTCTTTGTACCTTCATTTTGTTCTTTTCTTCCTGAAATGTCTTTCTTTCTTTGGTTTCAGATTCACCCAAGAACCTAACAGAAGCATTGATTATAGTAATAAAGGAAACCAACTCTGCGGAAAATACCTTTTAAGAATTTAAAACATCTAGCACATTACAAGCCAAATGGATTTCTTACTTGCACTTTGACTGGTTACCAGATAATCACAGTGCTTTTACTGTGTGTCATGAAGTATCCTATAATGGGAAGACCTGGAGATTTGGCCAACACCATGCAAAGTGGGTTCCAGGGAAAAAAAAAGGGTTTTCTCAATGAAAATTATGGGGATTATGAAGAATAAGCAACTGTCTTCTACTATGGATCTATAGTTACTTTGTACCATTTGAAATATATGTATATATAATATTTTGAAATATTATATATTCTCTTCAAGAAATGAACAGTGCCACAGTTTGAGACGGCTGGTGTATCACTTTGAGTTTTAGATGCTTTGCTTTGTTGCTTTTTGTTGTCATTTCTTTTTCTACTGGCAAGGAAGACGTGCCCTTTTGAGAGTTCAGCAGGGCACTCACACTGCAAGGCCAGCTCCCCGTGGACTCCTGGAATCTGAGCGTCACAATACTGAATCAAGAGCTTCCTTCCGTTTGTATCAGATGCCCAAGGAAGTACGCGTCCTGCTTTATTGCTTTCTGCCCTGTGCAATAGTAGCATGCAAGCTTGGCTTACATAACCATACTTTATATTCAACTGATATATAATAACAGTTTTAACCTCTTCCAGGAAAATATTTTCAGAATACTAGCGTTTACACAGATAAGAAAGAGAGGATGCTGGCGGTTGCTGCTCCACCACATTGTTAAGACTGGCGGAGTTGTGGTAGGATATGGATCCCTGTATTAATAAGTCCTGTAAATACAGTGTCCTGAGGCTTTGTACAGCTGTCCTAGACTGCAGGAATGCCCTTGATTAGTCCAAAGTCTGGCATCATTAAGTAGAGTGCTGTAGCAACAAGTCTCATCATGGCATCTTTTTCTATGTTTGATTTGCTTTTTCTAAGAGTATTCAGATCTCTCTGGTTAGATAGCAAGACTATTAAAGCAATTGGGTTTCAGAATAATCTATGTGACCAAATGTTGGACAGCCCTATTAAAATGGTAAATAACTTCTTTCTAAACCTACTTGTCCTCTTTATTTGCCATTTATTTTTCCTGAATCCAGTTCAACCAAATCCAGAGAACACTCCACTAGAGACTTGTAGTCAGTCAGAATTTTTCCCATGAAATATTTCCAGCCATAAAAGCATGCTTTCCAACCCTAACATTGGAAAAACCAGAAACCCATTATTATAACTGCAGTGTCCTCAGCCAGCAAGATGAAAAGTCAAATATCATTTGGGGGCTTTCAAAGTGAGCAATTGAATGGTACATATGGGGCTCGCCTCCCCAAAAAGCAATTATTGCTCATCTCTTTGAGAGTTACTCAACTGAGGCTTATACGAAGGAAATACCTACTTAAGTTCTAGTTTACGAGGGTAGCACACTAGTACTATACACTCCTATTACTTACCATATACATACACAAGTATATCTGGTTTTTTCTCCAAAGCCTTTTCTGCAACGCATATTGTGAGAGCCTCGTATTAGATCAGCAGCACAGTGGGTCCCGTCATCTGGACGTTTTAACGTTGAACCTCAGGTTAAATCCAGAAACTCCTTCATCTCTGCCATGTAGCTTGAGGTTTGATTGAATGTGAAAACACTCTAACTAGACGGGTTGATTCTACACCTTGAATGCTTGCAAAATTGCCCAGAAATGCAAATGAAATCTTCATTGCAAAATCTAAGCTTTCCAAATGCTTTCACAAATATTTGTCAGGAGGTAGCATAAAATTGATACCAGAAAATAAGAATTATTTGAATTTAAATACCAAGTAATATAGTAGAAACTGACTTTTGTCTGGACACTTTAAAGTATAAATTGAAACTAAAAACTCAAAGAATTGTCTAGAGCACCTACAGTCCAAAATATTACATAATCAAATGTACTTTGGGAAAATTGTACACAATATAAAATAGACATGTTTACTGAGGGAATCTTCAGAGCCTGTAATACACCAGAAGACATTGTGTGTCCTCAGGGAAGCCGGCACCAGAGGAGCCAAGCACGAATCTCCCAGAAGTGCGGAGGGGCCACTTGATGAATGGAGAGCTCATTTCTGCCTAATGAGAAGCTACAAGACATTATTTCTGTGTGAGGATAGATTAGCTGTATTATCATAGCTTTAATTTTTCAGGAGAACCATCAATGTGAATTTTTACATAAAATCTCGTAATCTTCTTAAATAAGATTAACTGCTCCACCATGAAGATTATTTCTATTAAATAAAAACTCTGCAAGCATTATTATTGCCCCAAATTCCCTGACCAAGTGGCCTTTTCTATGATATGAGTTTCCTGGAATGCCCTTTTAGAAGTGTCGGTCCTGAATGAGCATCCAAGCAGAAGGAAAAGGATATTCTCTTCCCTGTGGCCTCACTCACACAGACCCCCCTCAAAACTCACAGTCGGTGGAGTTCGCAGCGTTTCCTGTTCCGTAACCAGAGCCTGTAAGTCAGTGAAAGAGCCAATAGAGGTCCAGGGCTGTTAGTGCATTTCCTGTTGGTCACTGAGTGCAGTGTCACCCTTGAAAGACCTTCAAGAAGGGAGAAGCATAAAAAAGAGCGCATCAGGATCAGGCAACCATCCAATAAAACAGTTCAAATATTTATAAATGTCATGAAATTCAATTCAGATTTATCCAAGTTTCTTACACAAATGTGTGAACCATCAACTTGTGTTTAAATTTAACTTGCGCCAGTTTGGGGAATTCAGTCGCTACCATCTGCCTATTGAATCTGAACATTTATGGTTTAAAAACTATGTATTTCTGGTAATAAAGAACTCAGTGTGGTATGACCGATGTTGACGTTGAGCTTGTGCATCAAATACTATGAATAATGTTATAACAAAATTAGAGCAAATGCAAAGGGTTTTATCCAGAGCACTTCTCTTGGGTAAAAGGAAAATATGGCTTATTTTCATAAGACAAAAACTTTTGAGTAAGATAAAGCTTATTTTTTTACTTTTTTGTGTGATTAGATTTATGTATTAATGGACTTGGCAAGCACGTTGAGAAGTTTTACTGCTTGGCTTTTTTCCATGATAAAACGATGAAGAATGTTTTCACTGATACACAATTCAACATCTTTTTCTGATCAAATCTAATGTAACTTTCAGAAAGCAATATAGTGATTTTATAGTGCAGTATATTATGCCACCTCACCATTGTCACTGATACAGTAAGTTATGGAAGGTATAAAAAATGTTTATAAGATGATACGCATCCCTCATCTTCCTGGCATATGCATTCCTTCCTGGAAAGTTAAATATCATGTCAAAATATGAGTTTCTCTTTAAGCTTCACAGCCCCATTTCAGGATCTATTAGGGCTTGATGGATAAAGAAGTGTGCCGCGTCTCCTTTTGTGAGCTTTTTACCTTCTAAATAAAGGAGTTAGTGTCTAGAAAATTCTAGGGCTCCATCCACATCCATCTAGTTTATAAATATCACAAAACAGGATAAAAGGCACTACTAAGGAATGTGGGGACTTGGGACTAGTATCTGACCCAGTAGCCATGGGCACAACGCAAAAGTGAGGAATAGAACCATGTTCACTCTTAAAAGTGAAAGAGGGAGCCATTGGCTGCATGCACACAGTACCCGAAAACCCCTGCTAGCCAGAGAGTTTAGCCTGAGGAGGTCAGGAGTTTTTCCTCATAGCCTATCTCGAGGGCATATCACTGGATGCTGTGGCATGCTCACCTTGTTGGCCCATCAATGGTTCTCATTTATTTTACTTATTTAGGTAGATTTGTTTTATGTCAAAAATGTTAAGCTTCCATTTCTTTATTTGGTAGTTAGTTACATTACTAAAAATAACTGATTACCAAATATGAAAGCCAGGACCCTTACCATAACTGACTACATTTATAGACCAGGTGATGTTTATCCCGTCCTGTCTCCCACCTGCTTAGAGAGGCTGTAACCCAATAGCTCCACATGCCTGCCATGAGGGAGATCTGAGGCCAGACCTTCCTGAAGGCAGTCATTCTCAATGATTAGGCCATGACACATGGGTGTGTGCCAAACACCATGGAGTGGATTAGAAGTGTTTCTGAAGGGCTCATACTCGGTTAAGGGTAGTTCTCAAACAAAGCCTAAAAGGCGTACATGCCTATCGGAGCCAGCCAGGTGACACAAGTTAGTTAATGAGATTCTCCTGGCAATGCCTCAGCACACACGCTGAGAGTAGAGACCAAGCTCCCTGCAGGGCTCCAGCTGCCACTGTCTGACCCGGCCCATTGTTGCCATGCAGCATTAGGAGCCTGTGTGGGCCAATTCTTCTGGGTCTTTTTTCTTTTCTTTTCTTTTCCTTTCTTTTCTTTTCTTTTCTTTTCTTTTCTTTTCTTTTCTTTTCTTTTCTTTCCTTTTCTTTTCTTTTCTTTTCTCTTCTCTTCTCTTCTCTTCTTTTCTTTCCTTTTATTTTTTGGAAAACCAGAAACTTAGGTTTATATGAAATGCCCAAATTTTACAATTTATAATCCATTGAATTTTTGTTAAAAGGCATGGCTAAACACTCTATTCTACTTACAAGACACCAGTTTGCAAACCTGGCCTAAAATTACATTATTCTCATGGATTTCATTCTTACATGCTTCCGCTGGTAGTAAAAAAAAAAAATGATGGAGATGAAGCTGGATTGCAGGCCACTGAGAATGCTGTGGTACAGCAGTGGACATCAGCTCTCCTTGACTGGGGGCATGCTAAGGTTGCAATGAAGTGCCACCCACTGTATGCAATAGAGCATATGGATTACACTTCCACAGACTCTAACTCTGGGATCACCAAGCTACTGTGGGAGCAAAATGTAGGGAGTGGAAGGAAGTGGATCCCACAGCAGGTACTAAAACATGTGAGAAGTGTGTACACTTAGTTCAAAGAATGCTTGGTACTGGTTGCCCAATCAAGATAGCCTCTTCTCTCTACTTTCACCTTCCACACACCCCTCCACATACACACACACACACACACAAACACACACACACACACACACACACACACAGCACACACCCTTCCACAAGTGTGAATTTCTGACTTCTCAGTCCCTGACCTGGCTCCTCTTCAAGATGGCCAGCTCGAGGAGCTTTCGAGGTTTCTCTCACCCCACTTTCACATTTCCTCTCTTCCTCTCACAGTTCAGGACTGGACAGCTCTGTGTATCAGCTCTGTGGAAAAGAGCCCTACAATTATGAGCCAAAAGAGGCCCCTGCCACATATCCTAGTCTTCGCCCTCCACTTACAACCTACACCGGCTTATAACCTCTCTCTCTGGGTTTCCATGTCTGTAAAATAGAGATCATTGTACAAAGTTTAAGGTTATGGGAGGACTAGGAGAATAGGAAAAAATGAAAATGTTTTATAAATAGAAAGCAGTGGGTAAACTATTGTGATTATCACTATTCTCAGACCACTCCCACTGTGTGCCACTTAAAGCTCCCTGTGTCATTGCTAGCCCCACTCAAGGCAAACAGAAAAACAAACTTAGGGAGAAAAAGCCAAAATATTATTTTATTGTCTCTTTATAGAAAGCTCAAAGACCAAACAGATCCTTGCTCAACTGTGTAGAAGTCCCCATTTGCCATCACCATTGCTAATGTATTTAAGCCACTGGAAAACGCCAGCATAACCCAGATTTAAGCAATGTCATTGACACAAGCAAGTAACTGCATGTTGGAGAAGGCACCCCACCCTGCTGGTGACCAGAATGTTTACCTGGAACCTGAATTGCTAATAGCTTGAGCCATCTGGTGTGTAAGACAATTTTCAGCAACTACACACAATGTCGACACCAGGCCACTCTTTCCCTACATCCAGCTCTCTTGTCATCCAGGCTAATCGTCCAACCAAATTCACAGATAACCCTGTTACTGCTGAGTTACGACCTTTCATGCCGCCTTTTACACCCAACTCTGGTTAAGTGGCCAAGAGCAGTTTTGATTGTCAAGAAGAGGAAGTGGAGCCTAAAAACTGTAGACGAGCCACCCTGAAGTCAGACCAGGACAAGGTTCCAGAGCAGATTGTGTAAGAAATTTGAATAAATACTTAGGGAAACAGTAATCACCAGGAGCCAACCTGGGTTCACTGGGAAAAAATCACCCAGACACCTTTTTCATTAGCCTCACTGTCTTCTTTAACTAGTTTGAAGGATTTTAAAAAGTTGATTAATGTAAAATGACTAAACTTTAGCAATGTATTGGCAAACTGTGGCCTTTACACTAAATCTGGCCTGTGGCTTGTTTTTGTAAATGAATAAAGTGCTATTGTTTACAGGCTGGCCATAGCTGCTTTTACACACAACAACGCTGAATAGCTCAACAGAAATTTTATGCTCAGAAAACCCCAACTGTTTACTATCTGCCCTTTGTAAAGCTTGCTGACCCCTGGTCCGTTATGGAGAAGGTTGGATTGTAGTAAAAAGTTATGCGAGTTGTTTAGGCTCATAACCATAATGAATCGCCGTATTCAAATGTTTCTAATGCATGGGATAATTGTATCCTGGAGAAAGATTTCTAGTAGCAGAATCTTGGGTTCTGCCCCAGCCGTGCCCTGTGCATTGTTTTATTATCAGCCATATGGGAGAGATATTGGATGCAGACCAATTCTGCAGATCATCTACAGTCAAATGATCACCAACTACCTAGCAAGGTTAAATCATTCAAACAAATACCAGTAGGCAGTAGAACACGGTTATGAGGGTTAGAAACTGTTGAAGGACATAATGTTTAGATTCATAGAAAAATAATAAATGGATCAAGAATAAAAAGCTTCATTTAAATTAGTTTCTGAAGAGTGCATGCAATAACTAAACATATTTCAGTTTGATATAAGAACAATTTACCCAGTAGGCTTTTGTATTAGTTAGTGAGTTTCTTGTTATGAATGGTGTTCAAAGATAGACCAGAACTCTTAGTAGTGCTGTATGTAGAAGGATTCATGCCTAAGAATCTTATACTACTCAAAATGTGTGATTATCTGAGTCTGATTCCTTCTCAGTACAGTGAAAATAGAATTAGAGATATTCTGTAATGTCAGATTCTTGTGACACAACTAATTCTTAAATTCTGAAAAGCAACTCAAACTGCCTATATCCAGACCAGACATAGAGATGTCCCTTAAATGCCACAGAAGCATTGATCACCAGCAAAAATAGGTCTTCCTTCCCAATTTCAGCAGCATTTGTACCTTCAGAGTAAGTAGGCCACACCTGGAGCATGCCAGCTCCATCCCTCATCAGCTAGGGATAGCAATCCTGGATGACGATGGAAATGACTTGGAGTCTCAGGAATTTTAGAATAAATATCAGCTTTTCATCATGGAGATTGGCCAAAAGACTTCAAGGAGGTTCAGGCAGGAGTAACTATAACCGCAAGAATTAACCAGCAGGAAGTTTGCTAACAGGGAAGCAGATCAAAAACAAATAGGTAAAAACAAAAAGGTTGGAGGTAGGAATTGGCTCAAATTGTAACACTGAGCAAGTCACTGAGTATTTTAGCCAGGATGTCTCCACCTCCTTTACAATATTTTAACACATTATAGATGCCATTTAATTATATACCAGATTTTAAAAGACAATAACACGTATGGGTAGTGGAATAATCAATAAATGAAAATTCATCTAGACAAAAGTTTCTCAACTATATTTCATATTTCAGTTTTAACTTGCTGCTTATGATCTCAACACACCTTCCAAGGATGTCTAAATAGAAGACCATCAGATGTTCCCTTGATGTTCCCTTGCTCTGTTGCAAGTTTTGTTTTCTTCCTGTGGGAGAAAATCATTAAATGAGAACA